CAGCGCGGCGGGGCCCTGGGCCGGGCGGCGGGGCCGCCCTCTCCGCTTTCCTCCGCACCCGCGTGCGATCGGAGCGCGGCCGGCGGGTGTCCCTGGCTTTCATGCGCCGTGCCGGTGCCGCAGGAGCCCAGCAGGCACCTTCTCCCTCTTCGGCTGTTGCTGTTCCCTCCAGACCCCGTGCTGCACCTCCTTCCCCCCGCCAGCCCTGCTGAGCTCCGCGCTGGCCCTGGCCGCCCGGCTGAGCGTGCTGCTCCCCGCTTTGCAGGGTAAAGGACGCAGCAAGCAGATACTGGTGCTGGGCCTGGATGGGGCTGGGAAAACCAGCGTTCTCCACTCCCTGGCAACTAACCATGTCAAGCGCAGCGTGGCTCCCACCGAGGGCTTTAATGCCGTCTGCATCAACACCGAAGAGTCCCAGATGGAGTTCCTGGAGAGTGAGTGAACCTGTTTTAGTACAGAACGTAAAATAAGTTCCTATGCTGTGTCCTAGGAATCAGGCCTGTATTTTAAAGCCTCCTTATTCATAGAATGGTTAGGGTTGGAAGGGACCTCAAAGATTGTCTAGTTCCAACACCCCTACCATGGACAGGGACACTTTCCACTAGATCAGGTTGCTCAAAGCCTCATCCAGCCTGGCCTTGAACACTTCCAGGGATGGAGCATCCACAGCTTCTCTGTTCCAGTGTCTCATATCCCCCAGAGTGAAGAATTTCTTCCTTAGATTTAATCTAAATCTTCCCTCTTTCAGTTTAAAGCCATTGTTCCTTGTGCTATCACTACATGCACTTGTAGAAAGTCCCTCTCCAGCTTTCTTGTAAGCCCCCTTTAGGTACTGGATTTCACTTGTGCCTACTCTGATAATGTGAAATTGTGATTATTTTCTCCTTGAGGATTCTGCTTTCCCACCCCATTTCTTGAATGAGATGATACACTTATGTTAGAAGGGATCCATGTACATTCAGCCCTGTGCTCCAGGGAATTCTACTCCCAGAGAGAGAAGAGTAACAAGCCTGATTGCCAGAAACCAGCCCAAAGCAGAGGTGATGTGGTCCATAGCCATTGTGTGTTGTACAGCTTCTCCTTGGTGCTCATGCCTGGCAAAGGGCAAGAGCAGAAGAGGAATGAATAATAAGATGAAAGAAGAGAGGGGGAGGAGCAAAGCTTTGTACTCTTTTTGTTCCAAAGCTTCATAAGTGGTATTTTCTAGTCTTTAACAGCTTTTGAATGTCTATAGGTTTTCACTAAACTGTCTGTGTTGTCCTTAGCACTGACTTTTGGGTATTGTCTGTGCCTGCAGAGAGCATCTCCTGTGATGGTTTTGGGGTGTCACAACTGTTCTAGGCGCAGCTAGCTGATGGGGAAAGTAGAGGCCCTGGAGTCAGGTCAGTCCCTGGTACAGAGAGGCTCACATCCTAGCCTCATCACTGCCTGCCTTCTGTGGAGGCAGAAGCTGCCCTTTGCTTCCTGCTGTTTCTGCACTGTGCTGTGCCAGTGCTCGACTGGCTCAGTTGGCAGCTAGCGCACAGACGCCTCCGTACCTTTGGCAGCAGGCCTAGAGGAGTTGTGCTGTTCCCAGATAAGTCTTTGGGATGTGAGGACAAGGCCACTAAGGCAGAGTTTCATTCCCAGTGCTACTACTGTAGGAGGCTCCACAGTGTCTTAGGGAAATCATATCTCCAGAGATGCTTGTAGCCTGTACCCTTCTGCTAGTAGGTGTGAGACACTCGTATATCCTACTGGGAGGTGCTTTGCATAGCTGAGCCCAGGGAAACCCACAGTATCTCTGCTCCTGCCCGGGATAGCCTGGGCCCAGTGCTGCACACCCCACAACAGAACTTCTTGTTTCTGAGTCGTCCTTCCCTCTCTGGTCCGGGTTGGTAGTGACCGAGATGTGATGGCTGCCATCTGACCCATGGGAAATGAAATGTCTTAGGCCAGTTTCAGCTGGGTAAATCCATGCCTGGCTCTCTAATCTGGTTACTTATCCAGTCTGTACCATTGCCTAGTCTAGGGGTCAGCAGCCTGTGCTGTGATCACGTGGCACAAGGTGATCAGCAGACAGCAGGGTTTTTATTTTGCTTGTTTAGACAGATAGAAGACTGTTCCATCTTTTTATTTGTACCATCATATAGATAAGTGGATGGTATCTTGCCTCTGCAAGGGATAGGAGCTCCTGGCCTCTGCTGAGTTCCTTCTGGTTTGGAGGAAAAAAGTGTTCTCTGTGAGGTTGCTGACCCTGGGTTATGCTATGCATGAATGCACTTAACAGAGGGAACGGTGGTGAGCCCCAAAGTGTCACAGTACAGAATCAGAGGCATCTGTCTGAAGCGTGATGTGTCAGTCACAGCCCTTTGGCTCTTTCCACAGTGGCAGACTTGCAGTTCTGCCTGCAGATTCGCTGGGGCTCTGAAGTCAGGCACGCCCTAGTGGGAAATGTTGCCTCCCTTTCTATGTTATTGAAACTGCTGAATTGTTTTGACTTAAGTGAAAGCAAAACTGCTTTGAAACAGAGCAGAGTCACTGAGGGCAGTAAAAGATGGCTGACTAACAAGTCAGTTTTCAGAAGAACTGTGTAAGGCAGGAGACAATTACAGGGAACCCCAAACATATTGCCTTGAGAACTTGCTACGTTTGGAGACTCCCCCTTGCCTTTTGGTCACCTCAGTACTCTTAATCGAGTGGTTCTGCAGTGTACCTAGGAGAAGACCTGGAGAACTGAAAACACATCTGAAATACTTTGTATACTGTTGCTACTCCTGCTCTTGTCAGACTCAGCAAAATACCAAACTTTTTTTGTCCCCAGATAGGAAAAAGAATCTCGGGCAACTTGCTGCATATGGTTTCACCACAGAATTGTTGTAAGAACTGGGTTTGAAAGTGGACAGCTTTCCTCTGTATCTAGCAGAGAGGGGATCAGGGGTATGCTGTGCAAAGATTTCTCCCATCACCTAAGGATTGCCTAAAGAGTCTGCTGGGACTTGATTTTCCTCTCTCCCTATGCTCCTCTGCTTATTTGCAGTATGAAAGCTGTAGGAGTTTTGAACTAGTCTCTGGTGTCATACAAATCTGATGAGAGTCATCTCCACCTGAGAGCTAAATTTCTTCTTTGGAAATCGTAGGCATGTGGAGATAGGTTATATGGGGACATTCTCACATGGTGTTTATAGACACTGAACCTCTTTCAGCAATCCCTACTAGCTTGAGAGCAAGAACCAACAAGGCAAAAAGCAATGATAAAGAAACTGAACTCAGAATCCTCTCAAAGTAAGAGCTTAGAATGGATTTTTTTTTTTTTCCCCCCAGAGCACGCACGTATTACTTGCACAGTACTTGACTGGGGAAAATAAAGCCATTTCCAGTCTTACGTAGAGTAGCCCAAATACTTTCGAGTCTTTGTTAACCCAGATACCTTGAGTTTCCAGCCCAGGGCCTCCTGTCCACACCTCTGGGAGCAGTGCTGCTTGGTTTACTTGGTGAATATTGTGCTGCTGTCTTCTCTTCCAGTCGGGGGCAGTGAATCTCTGCGTTCATACTGGAAGATGTACCTGCCCAAAGTGCTGTTGCTAATCTATGTCGTGGACTCGGCTGATCATGCCCGACTGCCTGTGGCGAAACAGCTGCTTCATCAGCTGGTGCAGAGCAACTCCACCCTACCCGTGGTGGTTCTGGCCAACAAGCAGGTAAGAGTTCCCTGCTACTAGCTGAGCTTGGGCTGGCAGCAGCTCTGAAAACAGCAACAAAGCCTTTCAAAGGAGGCTTCATGCCTCTAAGGAGGCTACATGGCTGGGAGCTGGGGGTCTTTCTGGGACACCTGTTGACTGCAGAAGAAAAACTGAGGTTGAGTTTTGGATCTGCAGGATGTGGGTCCTGTGCTTGGAGACGATGCAGAGCTGTGGGTGGAAATAAAGGTGCAAACTGCAGTAGCGTTGCAAGGTTTGAGAGCTGCAAGGGAGAACACAGACCTGCAGTTAGGTTTTTGTTCTGAATGCCGGTCTAGAAGTACCACTTTACCTAGCAGCAGCCGGGAAGTGAAGCACTGTTGTTTGCCTTCAGATTGCTTAGTTGCTCCTAAGGCTGCTGCTGAAGCATGAGAGAAGAACATGACCAGGAGTGCGGCGAACAGAGCGGGCAAACAGGGCATGGTGCGTCAGCCAGGGCGCTGCGTGGCAGTTTGCATGGAAGGGCGCTGAGGTGCTGCTCGCCCAGGTCAGTGAGGAATGATGTCCACTCAGCAGAGACCTGCTGCCTCGCTAAGAGCTACACCCACCGTGACCAATGCAACTGCACAAACAGAAGCGCAGTGGAATCACGCAGCCGCCCTGGTGTCAGGCTGCAGGGTGTGCCCTGATATGACACTGGTACAGGACGGCAGTGGTGAGCATTCCTGTGGGAGATGTGCCCAGGTAGAGGAACTCCTCCGACTAGTGACAGAGCTTCACGAGGAGGTGGACAGACTGAGGAGCATCAGGGTGAGTAAGCGGGAGATTGATTACTGGGACAGCATCCTGTCTTCCCTGGGACAGACCCCGCTGACTATAGAAACAAGATACTGAAGGCTTCCTGTCCCGTCTTCACCAGGGTGAACATAACGATCAGGATGATGAGGGGCAATGGCAACAAGTTCGTGCCCAATGTGACAGGCGTATTGCCTTGTTGCCTTAGCAAGTCCCTCACCCTTCCAGGTGACTGTAAGTAATAGATATGAGGCTCTGCAGGTTGAGTCAACTAACCACAAGGAAGATAACTCATTAAGAATGGAAACTTCAATAAGGATCAATCAAAACAAGCCTAACTTAAAAACTGCTCCAACAAAGAAAAAACGTCAGGTCATTGTCATAGGTGACTCTCTTCTGAAGGGAACTGAGGGCCCAATATGCAGACCTGGCCCACTGTGCAGGGAGGTCTGTTGCCTGCCCGGGGTCCGAGTTAGAGATGTGGTGAGGAAGCTTCCAACTCTACTGATTATTACCCGCTACTAACGTTCCAACTAGATAGTGATGAAATTCCCCAAGCAAGAAGCCTGAGAAAAATCAAAAGATATTTCAGGGCCCTTGGGAGACTGCTTAAGGGATCAGGAGCACAAGTGGCGTTCTCCTCAATCCCCTTAATGTCAGGGAATGAAGAGGGAATAAACAGAAAGACCCACCAGGTCAACACCTGGCTCCAAGCCTGGTGTCTTGCGCAGGGCTTCGGGTTCTTTGATCATGGGTTGCTTTATACCAAAACAATAAGGAACCAATGATATAAATTAACGGGAATGAGACTGCGAGTCTAGTGATCACGGAAAAGTAAAGGATGTTTATTTAAAAGAAAAATGGAAATATAATAATTGAAAATACAAGAAAATAAAATATCAGGAGTAAAAACACATAGGAAAAGGCAATAGAAAAATACATGTGAATTTTGGGAGGATTGGGCAAAACTATACTAATACATTAAAAAAATGGGATTAAATTGATTAAGGACTGGAGCATCTTTCATATTGGGAGAGGATGTCAGATGGGGAGATAGGTCAGACACAACGGTCACTGGCCTGCCTGGAGTCGAGGCAGTGACAGGGAGAGGTCAAACAGGAGTCAGGCCTTCTCCCTTCAAGGAAAAGGCAAAGAGATCACTAGCCCAGTTAAAGTGCTTCTACACCAATGCACGCAGCATGGGCAACAAACAGGAAGAGCTGGAAGCCATTGTGCAAAAGGAAAACTGTGATATAATTGCCATCACGGAGATGTGGTGGGATGATACACACAACTGGAGTTGGATGGCTACAAGCTCTTCGGGAGAGATAGGCCAGGCAGGAGAGGAGGGGGAGTGGCACTGTACATTAGGGAGGGTATTGGATGTCTGGAGATCAGCAGTGGTGATGGAAGGGTAGAATGCTTGTGGATCAAAATAAGGGGGAAGGCCAATAGGACTGATGTCACAGTAGGAGCGTG